AGGGACCAGGTGAAACAGCAGAAAGCAGGTCAGATATTGAAGAGCAGGTGGTGTTTACCTTGCAGATGCAGGGGCTGCATGGGTCAGTGTTGATGCTGCCTGACAGGCTACACTCACAGCGAACACACTGAGGAAAATCTCTGTATCCAAACGCACAACGGTCACACTGTTGACCTGCAAACCCCTCCTTACACATGCACTGACCTGCAAGCAAACCTAAACGCACACACACACACACATCCAAGAAATATAGTTATACTACAAAAAACTGCTGCAGAACAACAATACTACTGCTACTGCTACTACTAATAATAATATACTAACCTGGCTGTGTGTTGTCTCTGGCGCAGACTGAAGACTTTGAGCCTCTCAGGTCACATTTACATTCAACACATGGAAAGTCAGAATATGGAGAAACCTACACACACACACGCACACACACACACACACATCATGCAGAGAGACATTTTGAGTCAGGATCTCCAGATATAGTCTTACTTGTGTCAATACTTTAGCAACTCTGTGGTATTAATTGCTGCATTATGTCAACAACCTCAGCCAGTTTGTAATATTGTGTCAGTACCTCAGCAGGTCTGTAGTATCCATCTTTGCAGGTCTCACAGTTGATGCCGGCTGTGTTTTGCTGACAGTTAAAACAAACTCCACCTCCCTGACGAACGCCGTGAGTGTTTAAACTCAAAGAGAGTTCAGAGATGGTTTGATTGTAGTAACAGTCGTCTGCTTTATTGTGACAGTTACATTCTGAGAGACAGACAGAGACAGGTTAACAAACAGCACACAGAAGTTGACGGAAATGGTACTCAGTGTGTTTAAGGGTGTCTCTTACTTTCACACGTGTTTCCATCGGAGATGGTCCCTGGTTGCCATGGCTGCTGATGGTAACCTGGGCAACATTCGTTACAGCTTTCTCCACAAGTATTGTGCTCACATACACAATGAAACTTCTGTACTCACACACACACACACACATATATTTCACCTGGTGAAACACTGTACATATGTTCCAATATACAGATGCTCGGGCGTTTGCCGTTACCTTGCTAACAGGGTCAAGTGGGCAGCTCTGAGCATGTCCATAGCAGATACACATCCCACCCACAGAGATGTCTTTGATGGAATAATAATACTGAGAAACACGGTAACACAAAAGGTATCAGAAA